TATATATCCTTTTCCTAAGTCGTGGCCAATTTAAAAGAGAAAAGTGTTACTTAACACTAAGAGTACTAAAACCACTATTAATAGTTTTAGTTACAAGAATAATAATAGCACCAGTATTAATATTATTCCTTTATTAATAATTTTATTATAGAATGGACCACTGCAATAGTACCAAATATGGTATGTTCATTTACTCACATCCTTGTTTATTTAATGTACATTTGTTCCAAATAATTATTCAAATTTACTCACACTGTTTTTGAACTTATAAAAAGATTAGAAATACATATATATGTGATAATTGAATATGTATTGTTTTCATATATAAACAGGATTAAAAGAAAGGATAAAAATATATTATGTATATACTAAAATTTTTGCAGAAAATAGTTTTCATAAAATAAAGGAGAAATCTTCACTGTTAGGGAAAAAAACTCCCAAAATATATCTCAAAAATAAATAATGCTTTAAAAATATTGAAAAACAAAGGTAGTATTCATTCATCACATTTAAATACAACAAAACCTTTGTAAAATATAAAATTGGATGGACATCATTGAACTAAGTGTATGTAATTTGCAGTACATACAAAACATTTGATGTATGCCTTTACAAAAATGATTAATAAAAATTCAGATGTAAAAGATGTATTTTATCATAGGATTTCCCTATTTCATAAAAGTAAATACACTGTGTCATTAAACTATTATGCAAAAAATTTTTATAAAACAAAAGACTAGGAAGCATTCTGATTTCTCATAAGGGTGGTTGATAAGCTTCCAAAGTCTATTTATTGAGAAACAAAATAGAATGATTGTCCCATCTCTATTAAACATATAAAAATGGTTCTGAAATTAACACAGCCTACACAACAATAAAATGAGAACATTCATAAAATGTATTAAAAATACAATATGCTTAATGAATAAATTATACTTATGCAAAGTAAAAACAAAGTGCTAGACATTTATTATGCTAACAAATTCGCAAATATCTCAAAAATCTATACATTCCTGCTATGTCAACTTTAGAAGTGAATGTGTCACCCTCGTTGCTGATTTGACCATCACTGTATTTCTTTCATTTTAAAACAGTCAAAACAATACTCACTTTAAGGTCGGCCAGTGTTTTTTGCCTCATGGCGAGGAGTGTTCTAAACATCTGATCTTCCTCAGAGATCCTCTCTTCGCAGGCTCTTTTCTCTTCCGTGAGATGATCAAACACAGCTTGTGCTTGTTCCTTTTTAAATCTCATAGTTAAAAATATATTTCTGTGAAGAAAGGATTTTAGGTCTCACTAATCAATTCATTTTATTTTCTGAGCTATGTTCATGATACTTAGAAAAAAAAAAACAATATTGGAAAATCTTAGAGGCAAAAGACCTTGGAAAATTGTTCTAGTTCCCTCCAAGGGCCTAAGTGTATGGCATATGTGTGTTCTCTTTGCAAGAGTTTGTGTGCATTTATTTGAAATTAATTATATTAGTCTATTGAGGTAAAATAAGATTTATGGTGAACTCACAGTTACATAAGGAAAACTACTAGTACAAAAATGTCAGAAAGTGAGTAAGACAATAATGGCAGCAAAGAATATGCTAAAGAAATAATTGCAATTTAAGGAACACTCACAGTGTAGAACAAGCACAGCTGTAAGAGCTCAACACAGCCTTAATAGGGTCCATATTAGGTAATATCTCTATTGATAATAGAAAATTAAACCACTTGTGGAGTTACCTATAATGGCAGCAAGACTAATATTTTTGGAAGGACTAAAATGTTAAGGTGTTCTTATAATATCTAATTTAATTCACAAAAAGCTATGAAGTCATAATTAGTCACTTATAACAAAGGACTCTACATTCCTATACTCAGTACTTGTGTAACTTCAAGGAGATAGTGAACGACAGAACCAGAATTCAAATCTAGTTTGTCTTTGTTTGATTTAGAAGTTCACCAGTGAGTCCTCAGGTACTTTCACCTCTTCATTACGGTTGTTTTAGGACTTTTTGTTTTATTTATTTTGTATCTTTTGAGGCTACTTGCCATGCAGTGCAGGGTGGCCTTGAGCTCTCTGTGCAGCACAGGCCAACCTGGAAGTCACTCGGAACCCCTTTCCTTAGACCCTGCAGTGTAGAGATTGTAGTGTGCTCCCCCACACCCAGGTCTGTTATCAGAATTTTGTAATCAACTTCGTGCTCACATTGAATGCATATGAGCATCTGCACATAGCACCATCGTGATGCAGTCACTTTTCGTGCCTCTGAGCCCAAGAGGCTTTGGGGAGCCGGTCTCCATCTGAACCAGGGCACATTCCTGTTATTCCCAGGAGAATGAACTCAGGGCAGCAATGAAGAATGAAAGGAATTTATCTACAATTATGCTTATAGAAACAAAAACTGATTAAATGCACACATACAATTTCCACATACAGTTCTGATAGAAAATATGCAAATTTTAAGAATAAGTTTTTAAATATGGAAATTTGACTTCACTTTGTCAATCATATTTTAAACATACTTTTTTCATAATACTTAAGTACTTACTTTAAATTTTCAAGTTTCTGATCATACTCTGCCTTTTCCTGTTCCTTTTCTTGTAACTGTTTGTTCATTTCATTTATTTTTGCATTAAAAGTGACTGTTTTGCTTTTAGTAGACTGTAATTCTTCAAAAATTAATGAGCGTTTACTCTGAAAAAATTCAGGATTGGTTTATTTTACATACTTAGATTTTCAAATTTTTTACATTTAAGTGACAGAATTATGTTGGCTGTGTGAATAATTACGAGTGAATAGTGGGCTGGGGATGTAGCTCAGTGGCCCAGCACCTGCCTGGCAAATGCAAGGTCCTGAGTTTGATTCCCAGTAACACCCCTTCCCCAAAAAAAACCATGTTAAAAGCAAATGGTAACCTCTTATCAAAATGAGTAACTTAAATTTATGTTCTCTATTGTTACATCTAACAAATTTCTAAAAGATGAGCTAAAATCATTCTGTCTTCAACTCTGTTCTACACAAACTTGTCCCCTCTGCACACACAATACACACACACACTCACACACATGCATACACACGCCTGTACGCACATATGTGCAAGCCTTACAAACACATTGTCTCAGGATACAAACGTGACCACTGATTTCCAAATATGCACCATGTCTGTTGGCAGGTGGCCAAGGATATCTCTCCAATGAAAGAAGCTGATGTTTATTGTCAGCACCATTTGCCACAGTGGACCTGTGTAGTTCCAAGCTGAAATTGTGATTTTGCCTCTCTTGTTTGTATGATTCCTTCTTAACTGTTGGTGTTAATATTGACTGACTTATTGAATATTACAGACTTACTGAATATCTTCCCCCAGGTCCAGCTTTGTTTCTTATTACTGTTATTTTCCCAGCGGATCCAATACATCTCAATTATTCTCCTTCATCCTCTTTTCTCCACATGACCTGTAATTCTTTCTCTATTCATAGATTTTAAGAAGAATGACTAATCTTTCAGTATTTACTTTCTATAAAAATTTGCTGTTAATCTAACATGGGAAAACACTGAGTACTCTTATCTAAATTTTTATTTTCACCTTGTTCTTTTTCCCCTTGGAAGATCTGGAATTTGTCTAGCAATGCATGAGAGAGATTTTTTCTCTTATACTAAAATGTAAAGGGAAATATTGCTAGATATGATTCTTTCATTGTCCCAGTGGGATGTTGTGATGTTGTGTTACTGCTTTGGGTGTGGGACAAGCTAAAGAAATAGGACAAGGGCATAGGTATAGATTAAAGTGAACAGAGCCAAAGCGACGGTCAACTCGGGGTGCCACATAGTATCTATCGCAAAACTTGACTTAGGTTAGGTCAAATTCCACAACTGACTCTTAAGTCTGAAATAAGAACTGTCATGGAACACTGAGAAGATTTCGGAACAATTATGTCAGTCTACAGCTTGATTAAAATTCACTCTTAAATCTGAAATAAGAATTGTCATGGAAAACTGAGAAGGCTTCAGAACAATTATGTCAGTAAACAGTTTGGACCATGACAGCCAATTTAGCCAATGGTGGAAGAGGCACTAGTAGATTCTAGTGTCCTTCTGTGGCACTAGTAGATTCTAGAAGACAGTGACCTGCTGTGAGACATAAGTGAAAATTAAAATTGTATTGGTTCACCTCTGCTAGGTAGCATGAATACCATGTCGATAAAGATAGACAGCAGGTCTCCTTGCATGGCACAAAAATATTACAAATGTTCCCTCAGTGGGCTGGATGTGGAGAGAAGAATCAGATGGTACCACAGAATAGTGAACAGTACAAATCTATACAACCTGAGTGGTAAAAGCTTTGAAAATTGCAGTTATTTGAACGTCTTTTGATAAATGTTGAAGTATCACCACAATAAGTAGGAAGAGAGTCATAAAAACAGGGCCTCTATAAGTTGACTGTTCTTTGGGACTAGTTTTTCCTTAGCCTGGAGGGAGACATTGGCTTCAGGCTTACCAAGTAAAGTTACTTTCATTTCTAGCCCTGGAAGTTTCTGGTAGTTCAAACTGCAATCAGTATATTCAGATTTAATTTTATTTTTTGCTTTATTATTTCACAAACTTGTTTAAGATATTAGACGAAGTTATATCCAGATTGTAAAATGCTTTAGATTATATGTTAATTTTTTGAGTTAATGAATATATTTTTAGGTTATCTCCATAAAATAAGTTGAGATTCTACACCTAAGTTTTCAATGGAGGCTAAACCTATAAAAATTCAGTAGTACTGGTTAGTTGTTCGTGAATGAAAATTTTACTCAGAGTGAAAGTAAAATTGTCTCAGAATTTCAGTTTTGAGAAGATAGAAAGGATGTCCAGAGCATTGCTTATACATAAGTGGGCATAATTAGTACTTAATGAATGCTAATCAATGTTGGCTGATATTACACCAGGTTCAGCTTCCTTCTAATGAGGTTCCACAACTGGCACATTATTCTCCATGCACCCGTGCTGAGACACTTGTAATCTGCAAGGCGTACAGCATTCGCTTGTCATCTCTTTGCTTTGCAGATACAGAGTTTGTTTCTAAAATGTTGAATGTTAATGTGAAAAATCAGGCTAAAATCACATAATAATGGTAATAATAATGACGATTATGGAGACCATGCATTCCGTACTTTCAGTGTGCTTGCTCTTTTAGGTTTGGCATGTATATTATTTCTGTTCCGAATAATCTCATGGCAAGGAAAGTCTTCTGCCTCCCTCTCCTCCCACAGCTCTCCCCATGACTTCTGCAAAGTCTTCCCCACCCCGTGCTGGGGTCCCCTTCCACCTCTCTGCTCTGCTCTTGCGGCTGTGCTCACACCTGATCCTATGCATTAAGGTGTCTTTTTTGTTGCGTACTCCACCTGGTGGCTACAAAGAATGTTGACTCTGCCGACTGACTGGATTCCACCCCCATCTTCACTGGAAAAAGTAAGTTTTGCCTTTGTGGACCTGACACGTTACAGTATTCTAAGTACACAGCTAGGGAAGAGACAGACCTAAGCCAAACAGCACAGGGGACCTTGAGAAGCTGATGACAACTGTTTTGTTCCAGAGGGGAAAGGAAAAGAGGAATGGAGGAGAAGTACTGCTCGGGGTGAATGGGGCACCCATGTCACCAGGCCACAGTGTCCTTTATGAAATGGAAGCAAAAACCTTTCAAAATCGTATTTTTGTCCTTGAGCTGTACTTCTTCTTGAAGGCCCTTCTTTGTGCGCTTCAGCTCCAATAGGGTATCATATAATTTAGCATTTAACTGAAGGTGCTCTCTGAAAACTAAATGATACTAGTAACTGTCTTAAAAGTTGAGGAATTGTGTACATCTTTTAAATTAAATTTTCCCTTATTGAATATTAGCCTATGTAACTAAGTTATGATAGCATTTTAATTTTAAACTAAATACTTTACATTAATGATTCAAAGTAGTTATCTGAAAAGAAACTATTTGCTAGTTTATAAGCATATTCATGTTAAATATGCTCTTTGGTAGTTCCAAGTGTGATCTTTGGTAGACATGGAGTTTAAACAGTAGCTATGGCATAAAAGATTCCAACCATTTAATTTAAAATATAATCATGTTGCTTTTCATTAAGTTCAATTGCTACTTAGTTTTCTACTTTCCTTCTTTCTTCTCACATTTCTTTCTTTATGTTTTAATTTTTTTTTGGTGCCAGGAATCGAACTCAGGACCCTGTACTTGCCAGGCAAGCAATTGTGCTGCTGAGCTATACCCCTGGCCTTCACATTTCCTTCTTTACCTCTTTCTTTCCATTCTTCTCTGCTTCCTTCCTTCCTTCTTTCCTTCCTTTTTTTTTGGTACTGGAGATTAAACTCAGGACCTTGTGCTTGCCAGGCAGGCCCTGTGCCGCTGAGCTATATCCACAGTCCTTTCCTTGTTTTTATTCCTCTTCCTTCCTTCCTTCCTTCCTTCCTTCCTTCCTTCCTTCCTTCCTTCCTTCCTTCTTTCCTTCCTTCTTTCCTTCCTCTCTTAGGCTATTTAGACTGCTATAATAAAGTACCCTAGGGTGGGTAATTTATACACTGCATACTTTTATTTCATACATTTCCAGAGGATTGAAAGTCTAAGACCAAGGCACCAGCAGATTTGCTGTCCGGGGAGGGCTCCTCTGCTGCAAGGGTGGCACCTCCTAGCTGTGTCCTCCAGGGGGAGTTGTGAGCAAGCTCCCTCGGGCCTCTGTTACAAGGACACTAATACTGCTCATACAGTCGAGCCCTCTGGACCTAATCACGGCCCCAAAACCTCACCTGCTGATACTATTGCACTGCAGAGTTTTTCAACACATGAATTTTGGAGACACATAAACATTCTTCCTTTCCTTCCACTGTCCTTCTTTCTTCTCTTTTTCCCCTTCTCCTTTTCTTCCTTAAGTCTCTAAGCAACTGGAGCCAGCATGGCAAATGTAGAGAGCAGCAGACTTCTACACACATCCAATGTGAATTTTGCTTTGTATTTTATCCTGATGAGGGGAGAGGTTCTGACAGAGTAGACCAGTGGAGAAGACAGAGACTGCACATGTCCCTCCTGTGCTTACAGACCATTTTGTGCAAACAATTAGAAATGCAAGACATCAGCTAAAATTAAACTTGTTTGATTTGTTTTCACGGACATGAAGAAATTACATATGCAAAATTACTTTTTGAAATTAAATTTCTCACCTCAGTTTTTGTTAGTTTACTAAGAGTTTTCTTTTCCTTTCTTTGCAGTTTATTCTTTGTTTGTATCACTTTTCTTTTAACATAGTTTTCCTTCTGAAGTACATCACTGAGATTCTAGAAGACATTCAGATATTAAGTTGTGCAATACTTATACCTCAATTATGTTGGATTAGACCAAATAATACCTAAGTGGCTATTTAATTAATGACAATGTTTATTTTGGTAAGTAAAGGGAAAGAACCACTACACATGACTAAAAGAAACATATCACAATACCCAAACTCCCAATATATTACTTACATTACCTGAGAAAAACAAAATATAATCACTTTAAATCAAGGAACCAAAAAACCTCCAAAGTTATATATAAATTATATATTTTCATTATGCTCTCTAAAATATTTCCAACAAATTTAAAGCTATAAACACAAGTTATCAGCAATCATTAACACAAAGTGTGTAAAAGTTAATTCTTTTCCAGAGTTTGGGTAAGTGACTAGTTCTTATAATTTATTCACTGCTAAATATGATAAAATAAAAAATGGGGGCTGGGGATTTAGCTCAGTGGCACAGAGCCTGCCTGGCAAGTGCAAGGTCATGAGTTCGATTCCCGGTACCGGAGAAAAACCAGAAAAAAAAAAAAAAGATTCCTGAACTACAAGATGGTATAAAACCATGGCTATTATAAAATAAGAGGAAACAGGAGTCATTAATTTTTTCTGGATTAATTGTCATACTCAGAAACTTCCGCAAGGATTTTGAAGTAATTAATGAATTTCCATCATTAATGGAGAGGGGGAGCCACTGTTACCATCACTTCCCCCACTGGCCTTACTACGGGTTAGTCATTTGTTAGCTGAGCACTAGGTCAGCATTCACAAGCCCTGAGGGGAGTAGTATGCAAAAGTTGTTGTATCTATGCTTCACAACCTGGCTAGACTTAAATCTTTTCTACTTCATAATACTAGTACACTTCTATGTTTAAGGAGGTTTCAAAGATCCAAATAAATATTTATAGTAGCAACACAGTCATTTTTTAAAAATAAAGACAGAAAGTTCTTAATGATCAAGAGTAAGAAATTACATTATTATTTGCAAAGAAAAAAATCCCGTTGCCACGGTGGTCCAAATAAATATATGTACACACTCCTGGCAAGGAAGGCAAAGAATGTATAGCTCTTGCCACTCCCTCTGCTTCTCCAAAAGACTAATGATAGGATGTATTCATATTTTGTCTACTAATTTATTTTTTTGGGGAAGGGCTAGTAATATCAGTTACTGTCATCAACTTGTAGTTTTGAAAATATTTTAGCCATGTTTTCTTTATTTTTCACCATAGCTGTCTGCAATTTCTATATGCATCAAACATTTACCATGAAAATGTCAAGCCTTGTATTTTATATTTCAGTAAACATAACTTTAACAGTCCATTTAGAAGTAGCAAATACTTTAAATTTAAAACACAGAGGTCACTGCTCACCCATTTGAAAACTGCTTTTTCTCAGTACACTGTAAGAGTGTGGGGTTCAAATAGGTCTTGAAAGAAAGAGCCTTGGTAGATCAGTGTCACAGTCTTGCAAGAGTTACTGTGTCTGTGATTTTTCTATGTGAAGTCGTAATTTTCCAAATAAGAATGTAAGCTCATGTATCTGACTTATCGACCTAAATGTTCCTACAGGTTAGCTTCTGGTTGAATAACGAATGCTTACCTGAGCCTGTTCTTTGTGCATGGCTTGGATTCTTACAGCATCCTCTTCTAGTTGCTGGAGAGGCTCCAGTATTTCCGCCAGCGTGAGGGCATATATTGCTTTCCTCTTCATAAGGTTCTGCCTCTCCAGTGACTGGGTTTCCTGAACGGAATATAGTCTTTTCTGTAAGCAGAGATTTTAAATGATTAATTCAGTTATTATTTGCCTAAGCACTGATTAAGCTTCTACCCTATGCTAGGCAGTCATCTTTGCTGCTGTTTGAAAATAAAACAAGAGAATCCACCACCATCAAAAAGCAAAGGGCACAAATGTGTATTTAAAGACCACATAAACAGTACTGGAAAAAATGAGAGAAAAATTAATGGACAATAGAAAGGACACATTCTTAAGGAAATACTGGAAGACAGTTAGTTACAGAACACACTGGCAACACATTTTGGATATATGTAATTCCTTCAGTCTAAAATCAACTAAGAGAAATGAGCAGGAAGTTAATGAATTAAAACTTAATGTCAATTTTGGCATTTTTTTGATACTGGGATTCGAACTCACAATTTCATGCTTGCCAGGTGGGCCCTCGGCCACTAAGCTACAACCCTGGCAATTTTGCTACTTTTTATTTTAAAATTTTTATTTCCAACTCTTTGTATAAATTACTACAGCATATTTTTCTCGCTTAGGGTTAAATAAAGAAACTCAAGTGAGAGACACTAAAAGTAAAGAAAACATAACATCATCACAAAGCAGAGTAAAGAGTTAGTCACAGGAATGAGATTCCACTGCCCTCTTACTAGACTGGCAGAAATTCCCATTAAGCCACAAAATGAGATATGTGTATGGGAGGTCAGTTTCTTTATGCATGATCAGACACTGCTAGTTGTACATAGAGGGCAACTGTCATCAGCTAGGGAGAGAAAACTGCTGGCTTGCAAACCAAGCAGTGACAAGATGCCTCATTACAAGCAAATTTAAAATGCTAAGTAAAATACAAATCAAAGGAAGAATAAAATATTGCAACCAAATTAGTATTACCTGAATTATTATCCCAGCAGCCACTTTCCCTCGAATGAGTCTTTTCAGAAACTCTTCTCTAACCTGTATTGTATAAATTTTTTTAAAATTTAAAATGATATGCACAGAATATCAACACTATTTTAATGGAATTTGGTAACATGAGATATATTTTACTATGCTTATAGAGTAAAACATTTATTAAAGCTAGTGTATTATACAATTATTAAAAATCTTAGAATGCAGAATTTTGTTTTCACTAAGTTTATACCTTAAGGTCCTGAACACATACAACCCTCCCCAAATAATCACAAAGTAAAATCTAATTATTCATCAGTTTCTCAGAAACAATAATTATGAGGTTGTTTTTACGTTACTTTCCAAAATGAGCACATTCAACTTTGAAGACAAGGTAAATACAAATCAAGTGTGAAGTTTGTAAAATGTGGTTGACTAGAACAATCTCTTCAAACAATTATGCTGTAGAAATTAGTAGGCAAAAAGGAAGAAAAAAATTGGAAAAATCTTTTCTCTGTTGCTAATTTTGCTTAGAATTATCACATAAAAACAAGATCTAGGCCGGGGATATAGCTCAGTGGCATAATCGCCTGCCTGGCAAGTGCCAAGTCCTGAGTTTGGTTCCCGGTGCCAAAAAAAAACCAAAAAACAAAAAACAAAAAACAAAACAAAAACCAAGATCTAGAAGCAGTTGAAAAGTTTCTTCTGGTTGAAGATTTCATCTTGGGATGCCTTCTGTGAGAGAGGGATTGGGGCTGCCCTCTGAATTCAAAAGAGGCATGCAGCTTCACAAAGAAGAAAAACAGAGGTTCAGAGATGTCTCTGATTTCTTTACTTCATTACTGAATGTATCCTCATATCCTAGGGGATACAGACACAATGTAAAGAATTAGGGTGAATGTCCCTCTCCCAGACCTTCCTCTACTCAGCATAGCAATACTTTAACACTATGTGTTCCTAAATAAAAATAATTCCAAAAGAAAAAAAAGACAGTACATGAAATGATATCATACCTATATTTAAAACTATGATAATATTTTTATAATTTTAAAAAAAATTAGCAGCCTCTTCTATCCAACTAGAGTTTTACCAATTTATCAAATATTTAATAGAAAGAAAATTTGAAATGTCTCAATAGACTCAAGAAAAACACAGCCAGGCCTGGTGGTGCACCCCTGTAATCCCAGCACTCGGGAAGCTGAGGCAGGAGGATCATTGCTGGTTCGAGACCAACCTGGCCTATAAAGTGAGCTCAAGGTCAGCCTGAACTGCATAGTGAGACCCTGTCTCAAAAAAAAGACAAAAAAAGAAAAATACATTATATTCCAAAATGTAGCTTCACATTTGACCTTTGTTGGAAACTAATTAAAGATGTGCTTGTGTTTGTGCATGTGTGTGTGTGTGTCTGTGTGTGTGATGAGTTAGTAAATAGTAAGGTATGGAGCTGAAGATATGAACAGCTACTGGATCATGTAATACCTTTTTTTCATAAAATGTAGTGAAGGACAAAGTATTTGTTTTATAGAGATCACTCTGGCTACAAATAGAGATTAATTAGCTTATGTTACCTTCAAATTCATTCACTGAATTTTTAAAATTATTAGCTCTTGGAAGACTAACCTAGTGTTTAAATGAATTTATTTCTTGAATTAGGTAAAGTTATACAAAAAGAAATTGTGGTTGTAAGGCTAAAAGTAACTTTAGGTAGCATATGAAGAAACAGAAGAAAATGAAAGAACTAAAAAACTACTTTGCAAGAAAGAACAATATGTTTGAAATCTGTGTCACTATACAAAACCAATTCAACCTGTTACCAATGGACAAATCTTCATGCACCCCAGGAAATTGGCAACTCACAAAACTGGGGAAACCCAGCCTCAATGCCCTGCTCCAAAACTCTGTGACCCAGACAGCAGGATTGAGAGAAAACCCCAACCTATGGCTGGGCAGCAGATTTCACCCTTACACCAGCCCCTGAACCTCAGCAGTTTTCCAGCCAGAGGCTCAAGGCTTTCCTGAGATACTGTCCTCCTTACCAAGACCAGAACTGGTCCACCAGCCCTGGGGCAAAATCCTGTGAAGCTGGGTTTTTCCTAGGTACACTACTGAGTTACTAACACCCTCAAGACATCCTAGGATGCACCAAAGACTGGAATAAGCTGAGCTCTGATGGTCAAAGATTTTAGACCACACAGTGACACATCCAAGGGAACTCTCTCTTCCCATCCTGTTGTCACAGGCGGTGTCCCTGTAAAGCTGACCCTGGAGCACAGCTTAGCGAGCAGGTTGTTTAATCAGGCACACAAGTAGTGCCAATGCCTGTGCACAGAATAGGAACAAAGCAGAGTTGGACAGACAGACAAACAGGCTGAGTTGTGATACTATCTCTAGGACAACATCAATCCATCCCACAGGGAGCCAAGAGAAAGACTGGGTCTTCAAATCTGCCCCAAATAAGACAAGGGTGTCATGGGTCCCCTCACATACATCAGCCCGTGGAAGTGCAATGCCCTGTGAAGCTGAATGACCTTCAGCAAGGTCACTTAACTGACTCCCATTTGTGAATCTGGGCAGTTCTGACCACAAAGCAATGCAAACACATAATGACGGCTGAAATATATGACATGCCTACTGTGTACAATTACCTGGATTTAACTTCACTATGAAATCCATAAAATAGCTATTATCGCTCCCTTTTGCATATGGTAAAAGTGAGACAGATTACATAAATTGCCCAGGCACACAAAACTTAGGTATGTTTCTTTCCCAGGCCTGTGGCTCAACTAGGATACCAATTCCCACAATCTGACTGAAATTTCAGGGACTTAATCTCATTGCTTTAGCATCTCAGTAACACGTAGATTTTCAAGACCCTCCAAAGGATAGGGATATTTGGTATAGAGCAGTGGTGGCGAACCTGTGGCACATGTACTGCAGCAAGCTGTTTGTGATCACTGAAAGCTCTGAAAGGTTCGCCATGACTGATATGGAGCCTTTTGACTCACCCGTGCCACTCTCCTAACAGGACTGCTAGCCTTTCTATAAGGCTTTCCAAATAAGTAAGATGCTTCTTTGAATTCTGCAGCTCAGCTGCCTATGTTAGAGATTGTGGCCAGTTCCAAGACTTTCAGTGAAAGAGGTGCCAATCTGCTAATGATGCTATAGTTAGCTCTGAAATCTGCTGGGAGAGTTTGAGTTCTATCTAGGGATGTGATGCTGTAATTACAAAATGTGAATTTTGTAACTGCTAAGAAGAGTCTGGATTAAATGAGCATAAATTAGGAAGAAGTTGAATAACACTAGGATTAGAGTACGGTCTCCTGGTAAAACACTGATTGCCCAGTCACTAGAAAGATTGAAAGGGAGAAGCTAGAGAATGACGGAGAGTTACAGTAGTTTGAACGATTTCTTGATTTAATACGACAGGTGGTGCTACTGGGAATTTGTAGTATGCAGGGCGAGTTCTCAGCATGCTCTATACATATAAGAAGTTCTTCCTTTGTAGGACTCCATGATAGTGGAAACCTCTGTATATTGGACCATCCAAAATGAGCACAGACTTAGATGGGAAAAGAATTAGTTCACGTGATGCTGTGGAAGAGTAAGTTTGCTTGTGTGTGTATGCATGTGAGTGCATGCATGTGTGCACGTCTGTATGTGTGTATAAGGTAATCAGCATTTCCACTTAGTAAAATAGCTACTTTGTGAGGCATCTTTCCGTCCAACAATCACCTGAGATAAACTTACAAGGAGACAAGGGCTCTGTTCACCTCATATTTCCAGAGGTTCACCCCACAGTGAGTTTCCCCCGCCTTCAGACCTGTGAAGCAGTGCGCTGGGGCAGGAACATGTCGGGGAGCAAGTTGCTCATCTCATGGCTGAGAAACAGCAAAAAGGAGAAGGCACCAGACGCACAGCGGCCCCAGCAGCTCCCTCCCAAGGACCCCAAACCTTCAGCTCCCCATGTTGAAGTTTCTAACATCTCGGAATGGCAGCAATGTACTGGGGACACACAGGCCTTTGGGGTACATTGCAGGTCTGAACTATAGCATCAACTGTTATCCACTCGCAGAGGTGAGAAGTGGAGGTCACGAGCTTTGACCTGAGTGGAACCGCCCGATACTGCGGCTGGCGCATGCCACAGCGCTGTGCAGGATGCGCCCTCCTCTCTTCCTCAGCTTCTGGTGCTGAGCTCAGTAAAGAAGATTTGACGAATGGTTCATTTCTGGAGCAAATGGGCTTATTATTAATGAAAACAACTTTTGGGCTTCAGCCCGGGAATTAAGCTAAAAGGTTCAGGTTATTTCAAACTTAGAAATATGCTTTATTTCAAAAAGTCTCGATATGCTTTATTTTAAAAAGTCTCGTATCTCGAGGTCCATTAAAATGCAGCAATCACCCAGATTCTCAGTGGTACATGGTGTCTTGAGAACGAATAGTAAAACAAGGCCTCCAAGGTGTTTATCCTGAGATGTGGGGGAACGGGAGAGGTACGGGAAAGGAAGGGAGGCTGATTCTGACCTGGGTTTGCAGCAAAACAGAGTAAATATCTGCACTGGAACCGAACAAGGACTGCCTTGTCCAGGATTGTGGTCTGTGACCCAACTTAGCCCAGACCTTTGCGTTCTTCAAACTGCCACCTCATTGTAAAGGGAATGAAAGCCCAGGAATACTGTCATGTCACATATGTCCCAATAATGGATCAAAATAAGAATCATAAATGGATGCTAAGTCCATTGAGTGAATATTTGTTGAGGAAAAGTTGAATATTTTTAAAATAATTAATTACTTATTACTTACAAGGCAGGAATGAATACCCCTGCTACTTTAACCAAAGTGTCAAACCTAGTAACACTAATAAAAGAAAAATGTATACCGTGACCTTTTAGATAGGCATCAGAGACACAATCTTAAAATTGGGTAACACTGTTTCCTAAAGATAAATTCACATTGAAAGAAAGTCTGTCAAGTAAATGGCCTGTGTACTTGTAATAAGTCAATGCAATAGAAGACAAGGAGATTCAAGTTATAACAAATAAATGCAAAGTATGGGGTTCAAGTGCATA